CCCCCCCAATAAGCTACAGGGAGTTCATTTCACTCCACTACCTGATTGGTTGGTGACCTTTGAGCCCACTCGAACATACGCTCATAGGCGTTTCCATCGTAACAGCCAAGGGCGGAATTTAAACACTGGTCAGTGAAGTCAAAAGCATCCGTTAACAGGATGGCGTCCTTCCTGAGAAAATAAAATTTCATGAGTAATTTAGATCGCTGTCATGGATCTGATTAATCAGAGATGATGAAATAGCAACACCTTATTGTGTCTGGCCAAATCAATAAACCCCCACCCCATGCAGAGCTGATCAGAGTTGGCTGATGCAATTGTCTCCGGACCTTGCACTCAGCCACGTATGTGCTAAGTGCTCCCTTACCTGGCTAGGGGCGCGGACATGCCTGCATCCACCAATCACCAGCAGCCTTCCTCACCTGGCTAGGGGTGCAGATGTGCCTGCGCCCACCAATCCTGGATGGACACCTTGCTCCAGGACCAATCCCTGGCAGACACCCTGCCTGGGCAGGAACCCGGACATGCCTGTGCCTTCCAATCCCTGACCACCTTACTAGATATAGGCCCAGGGCCAGCCCAGCCACATCTCCCAGTTATAAAAGGTCGCTCCCATTGCCCAGGGTGCGACTCCCTCAGCCCAGACACTGGACCTTGGGGCTTCGCCCAGGCTGGGATTTTTCTCCCCGATAAAGCCTGTTTGCTAAAATTCGGCTGATTCGGTTTCTGGCGCCTCTCGACTACCTTACAATTGGAAATGGCGTCCTTACTCATTTTTCCAGCAAGTCCAGCTCTCGTTCTCTTAGTTTTCCTTATTATATCAGCTCTACCCTTACAAGGTAAGGAGTCAAACCGTTCTCGGTGGTTATTCTGAAAACAGCATATAGCCCGGTCTCTCGCCCCCATCTGTCTTTCTGCAGGGGCAGTGCCAATCTCTTTGCTGGTGTTTTTCATATCCACCCGAAAGTCTCTAGGTATCTTGTGCGTATTGCTACTTCTCGATGGTGCCATGTTAAGTCTTACCTATTGAGTCTACACCACAAAAGGCCTCCTCCCCCACCTCTTCCCCTCCCCCCTGCCTCCCAATATAGGCACAAACTTGATAGACCAGGGCTCAGAACTTCCACCCTTATGACCACGTGGATCCCGCTCACAGCTGGCCTCATCCCCACCACCCCTCTCCTGTGCTTCCTGCTTCACTGGCCACCCTGGCCTCAGTTGCTGGAATCTTCTGTTCCATTGAGCTTGGCCTACACCCGCCCCTCGTCACACTGTCAACATCACACAGAGAACCATCAGCCTCTGCAGCGGCTCCATAACCCATGCTTTTTACTCTCTAGCAGGAGGCTGCCTGGTGGCCCAGTGAGTAAGTGCTTGTCTGCTAACCCAAAGGTCACTGGTTTGAACTCACCAGCTGCTCCACCAGAGAAAGCCGTGGCTGTGGGCTTCCACAGAGATCTACAGTCTTGGAAACCCTATGGGGTACGTTTCCCCTGCCCTACAGGGTCACTGGGAGTTGGAATTGACCTGACAATAATAGAGTTTAAAAATTCTATCTTTTCAGTTTACTCCCTCTCTAGTATTCTGATTTCTAGAATTCTTCCCCCTCTTCAAGCAACAAACTGTTTTATTTTAACTCAAGAAGAGTTGTGCCTTCATCACCACAGTCAGCCTTCTTGTATCCATTTCCCCCGGAACTCTTTCTTGATGGCCCCTAGTCATCATTCAGAGGCAACTTGTAATATTAATATAGCCCATTGCCATTGAGTTACAACTCAAGTAATCCGATACCGGGTTTCCAAGACTCTACATTTGTGTGGGAGCAGACAGCCTCCTCTTTCTCCTGCGGAGTGGCTGGTGGGTTTAAACCGCCCACCTTGTGATTAGCAGCCTGATGCTTAACTAACAGCACCACCTTGTTGAACAAACACCATCCCTTGTTATCTTCAATTTTCCACGAAATCTGCACCTCCACTTAGCCTATTACTGGGAAAACCCATCCTAACGAGGGTACGTGGGCTCTGGCGGGCCCTGGCTGTTCTCCAGCAGCCGTATTACATTGCTCTAGCTTACTCACACTGCCATTCTCCTAGAGCAGCGGTTCTCAACCTGTGGGTCGTGACCCCATTGGGGGTGGAATGGTCCTTTCACAGGTGTTGCCCGATTCATAACAGTAGCAAAATTACAGTTAGGAAGTAGGAATGAAAATAATTGTATGGTTGGGGGGGTCACCACAACATGAACTATATTAAAGGGTCGCAATTAGGAAGGTTGAGATCCGCTGTTTTAGGGGATTATTTCATACCTTCTCCTTGCTGCTCAGTTGCCACCATCCACCTTTCCCACCCTCAACGGTTCCTTAGCTGCCTCACTAATAAAAATAGAAGCAGTAAGAATTCCACAAGGCCCAGGTCTGTATCTATACCTACATTGCTTTCTCTCCTCTTAGGACAGATGAACTTCCCTCCCTTCTCGCAGTCTTGGAGAACACTGTTCCAGAAACTCTCCTGCCTTCCCCCTGGTCTGCAACATCAAGTTCTTTGTACGGGGTCGCTGCCGTCAATAGACAAACAGGCTGTCAGTCTCCCATCTTCTAAACCAGCTTTTGGCCCTCTTTCCCTCTCCACCATAGCGCCCGTGCCTTGTCTCCCTTGATGACAGAGGGCTTGCTCCCACTTGTTATTCCCATTCGGCTCCTATCATGACCTGGGTGTGTGCAGGTTTTCCCTCCCCCCTACACCCCACATCCCATCCAAACTCACTTCCATCCAATCAGTGCTGACTCATAGCAACCTCCTGGGGGTCTTCTGAGACTTACTGTTTACCGGAGTAGCCCAGTTTTTCTCCCTCAGAGCTGCTGGTGGTTTTGAACTCCTGACCATGCAGATTGCAGCCCAACACATAACCACTATGCCACCAGGGCTCCCACCACGCCAATGAAATCCTTCTTGCCCCAGTCACCTCTGAGACTTCCCAGCCTCTGAACATGAGACAGTCCCAAGACTCACTGCCTGGACCTCTCCTCTCCCATGTGTTCATTCACTCCTAGTGACATCATCCAGTCTTGTGGCTTCAGATGCCAACCCCGTACCAGGGACTTCCCAATCGGTCTTCCTCACTCTCCCTCTCCCCTGGCTTTTCCCTCTTGCCTCCTCCCCAGTCCATGGTTCATGAGACAACTGGGGTGACGTGTTAAAACGGACACCAGATAACTTCAGATTGTGTCTGTTCAGTGCCGAAGGCTTCAATCCTTGCCACATGGTCCTTCCAGCCCCCACGTGCACCCTTAGCTCTGACGTCGGCTCCCGTTCTGCACCTTGGTCACCCTGTTGTAGGCCTTCCTGGCCTCCTCTCTGTTCCTCACACAGACCTGTCAAGCATATACTGGCCTTATTCTCTGCCTGGAAGCTTCTTCCCTGCCGGACACCTGGCTCCCTCACCTTTTCCGAAAGAAACGCATACACTTCCTTTTTGAGACACTTTCCTGAGCTCTTTTATGAAGGGTCTCTGCCGCTGCTTTCCTGTCTTTCCTTCTAGATCAGACTAGAAAGCCCAGTGGCAGCGACTGTCCAGATGGTTCCGACTGTGTCAGAGAAGCATGCCGTTCCGACAGGCTCTTCAAATGCCATTCTTCAAACATCCCAGTCTCCTGGACCCACCTGTCCCATTTCCAGGGCGGAGGCCTTGTGTGGGCTGGCGGTGCCAGTCTGGTTAGCCGCCGCCACCCAAAAGCTAGGGCGGCACATCCCCTATTTATTTATTATCTTCTCCCCCCTCCCCACCAATTTTCATCTCTTTGTGAGACTGCTGCAACTTTATCTTCCAAACCTCAGTTGAATTTTTCATATCCACTATCATTTTCATATCTACTATCATTCTTGGTTGTGTGGTTGTAATATCTCCTTTTAATTACTTGAAGATATTACTTTTTTTTTTTTAAGTCTCCCCCTTCAGTCTGTTCCCTTTGATTCTTGCCTGCTCCGATCTCTGTCTCGATGTTGGTCGGGGTTCTCCACAGAGCCTGGTGATCCCTCCCGGCCCGATGTGTCGCAGTCCACAGACCTTCAGAGGGTGAAGTGGGGAATCAGACACATCCAAGAGACTCCATTGATCTTGGCAGCCCAGCCTCCTCCACCCCGAGGGGGCGATAGGCTCATGAAGCAGTGGCGCGGGAGTCTTCGGTGTAGCTTGGTTCTTCTTGGCTTTCCCCACTTCTGGGTCAGGATTTATTTTTCTCTGCCACATCACAAGTGCCTGTTAGTCTTTCTAACGTCATGTTTTCCTGGTCTCTTTCTTTTTGGGTTCATGCCAGTTGCTGCACTCGTAAGCCTGTCTGGCCAACCTGACATTTGTACCTGAAAGTCCCCAGCTAGGAGTTTATGACCATTTAAATCAGGAAAGCACCCAACCAAAAAACCAAACCCACTGCCATCCAGTCATTGCTGACTCACAGCGACCCTCTAGGACAGGATAACACTGCCGCTGCCTGCGAGAGCGAGGGAGCGAGCGATCTGGTTCTTGGTGTCACTTAGAACAGTGTGCCCCCTGACCTCTCAGCAATGTGATGATCACAATGAACAGTCAGGGCCGGGACGTGTGACAGCTGTTCAAAGCATGGACTCTGTTACATTCCTCACTGGCCTGCAGCAGTCAGGCTACTGAGGAGCCCTGGTGGTGTAGTGAGTTACATGTTGGCTGCTAACTCCAAGGCCATAGTTTGAACCCACCAGCCGCTCCATGGGAGAAGACTGAGGCTGTCTGTCCCCGTTATGGGGAACCCAAAGGGGCAGTTCTACTTTGCCCTCTCAGGTTGGAATTTCGGATGTCCGTGGGTGTGGTTTGGGTTGGTAGAAAGGTTGCTTAAGGACCAGCATATAAGCACAGACCGCAAACCACTGCTCTCTGCCTAAGCTGCCTATTGGCGTCAGTGCTGTCTGTCTGTCTGGAACTTTAAGCCCCTGGAGCCAAGGCAGGCTTAATAGTGCTGCTGTTGACGGCGCATGCCCGTGAGGTGTGTTTCCTTATCACCGTGAGGGCTAGCAGAGCACTGTTTTCTACATGCTTTTTTAAAGCACAAGCAGATCAGAATATCAGACCCATTTGAGCTTGAATTCCACAGCACTTAACAATGGTTAGTAATGGTTTCCACTATTGTGTTCTCCAGAGAGAAGTTCAATACCAGATAATAACAGGTGATGTGTCAAGTGTTATTTTTGATGATTTAATTTAACACACCCTTATTGATAAGTGCTCTTAGGGGCTGATGAACAGCCATAAAGATGTAACATAATTTCTCTGTCATGGAAATCTTAGCTTTAAATGAATTTCAGATGTTTCCTTTTTGTTCTCTTAGTCTTAATAATATATACCATGGGAACTTGTACGGGAGAAGTCACACACCTATTCCCCACCCTGCCACACACACACACCAGGCATCATGCTTTCTGCCCAGGGTAGTCTAAAAGAGGCCGTGTTCCTAGGTTAGCCCAGTTTTAATTTTATGGTTTGTACTGTTTTAACTTTTGTTGCTTTGAAATATCCTGATCACATAGAGGTTTGGTTCTGATATATTTTTAAAGTAACCACTCAGCATGTGCATAAAATAACAGGATAAAAGCATGGCATTAATATTTCATGACCTTAAACTGAATTGCATTCACACTGCATTTCCAAATGGAATCATTGTCCTACAAATCCATGAATAAACTGTAGTCGTTTTAATTTTGCTTTGAAGTTGAGGGATGTTTAAAGTACAAATACTAAACTTGCTAAGACTTTGCTTAAGCATATTTAACAAAGGCAGGATGTTTGAAATAAATAATACCCCAAACCTTCACTTTAACATGTAGCTAAAGAAGGCTGGCTCTGGGCTTAGACAAGCCTGAAGTTGCTTGCTCATCCCTTGGCTGATGGCGCAACCCGAGCTAAGTGACTTAACTCCCATGAGCCTCAGTTTCCTGACTGGTAAAGGGGAGCCATTAATGGCACCCTGTCACAGGGCTCACTAAGGATTCAGTGATGGTGATGGGAAAGCGTTTGGCACCGCTGTGCCAGGCACATAGTTTCTGGGACCCAAGCAATGACGAGGAATGTTGTTAGGAGCGTGTAGCATGCTTCCCTCTATTCTTACTCCTTCCGCGCTGTTCCGATTTCGGTGGTGGTGAAGCGTTCACATCAGCAAGTGGCGTCATTCGCCTTCAGCCTCATTGCTTCTAACATTTTTGCCCAATTATTTTTCACTAAGCTGAATGCTTTATGCTGGTATGGAGCTAGTGTGCAGACCTCCCTTGAGTGGTGGCTGCTTTGACCAGACCCCCAGTTAGCCAGGTTTTGAGTGTCTGAGGCTTGGAGTTTGAAGTGCCCTGCCAACAAAGGATGCGGGGTTCATTTCAGAAGACGCCTGACTCGGTTCAGCGGCTCAGCCACTCACCGGATGAGACTGAGGAGGTCCAGGTAAGATGTTCTCGCCATGTCCACTTGGGCCCCGGACAGGAAGCCGTCGTGGAGGAAGTCGCCTGAGTTGGTCAAGAGGCCATGTAAGGCATAGAGGTCACAGAGCCGTTTGAGCACCTGCTGAATCGCTGGCTCATGTTTCAGTTCCTCCAGCTTCTGTGCGAAGCTCTTCACCATGATGTAGCAGCAGTGCGCCTGCAAAGACATGGGGATGCGCTAGCCTCTTGTCCTTGGTTTCCGATGCCGCCACAAGTCACGCTGGAATGGGCAAGGCGGCTGGAATGGGCTCACTGAGGCCCTGCATTTAAGTTATAGTCTCAGAAACTCATAGGGGCAGTGAGGTTGAGGTTGTACTGGGCTGTGTGTGTGTCAAAGTGAGGAATAGGGATTCAAGATGTATACAAAATGTATCTGAGTTAGAGTGTAACCTTGAAGTAAGCAATATTGTACTTGACAGGTACGCAAATAACTCTGCCAATTAATAAAGTCATAGTGGAGTCATTAGGAGTCAGTATTGACTCAATTGGGAGTTGATTCATGGTCCTGAGTCAGTGAGAGGACCCCCCTGCTCCCCTTGGCCTGTAGTTCCTTCTGACTGCTTGGTGCCCGTGCCCTCCTGGGTGTTACTGATTTCAGTACCTCCCTCACTCGCCCAAGTGGCTCTCCCTCTGCCTGCATTTATGGTTTCCAGGTGAGACCTGGTTGAGCGTTTATTTTTGTAGAGCATATGGCTCCCCCAGGGCATAGCATAATGTCCTGTCCATGCTGACCTTGGAGACCGCACCAGCTCCCCAGGAGCTCACCCTTCTCCCCCAGTGCTGCGCACACCGCAGTCACTCGCCCCATTAACTCTGAGGGCAGGGTTTGCCTCCCTGGTGTGTGTGGGAAAAGCATGTCCTGGCTCTGGGATTTAATGTGCTAGTCTCTCCTGTGGGCTTGTCCGTACTACGTAAGCTCACGCTGGCGGACAGCGCCTGCTCCATTTGTAGGCAGGGCACAGTTTTAGAAAATGTGGAATGCGACGCTTCCATTTTTGACCCATTATGCTACACCTTGGGCTGCTAACCTTAAGGTCAGCAGTTTGAAACCAGCAGCTGCTCTGAGAGAGAAAGAAGAGGCTCTCTACTTCCGAAAGGAGTTACAGGTTCGGGAACCCCCGGGGCTGTCATACCCTGTCCTTTGGGTTGTTATGAGTCAGGAGTGAGTTGTTTGAGGAGCTCTGATGGCACAATGGTCACACTCTGGGCTGCTAACTGTAAGTTCAGCAGTTTGAAACCACCAACAGCTCTTCAGGAGAGAGAGAAGGGTTTTCACTCCTGTCAAGAATTACAGTTGGGG